CCAGGCTGGCCTGAAACGCATTATGTAGCCCTGAGAAGTCTGATGATAGTTGCCCTGCCTCAGCCTCCTGAGTCCTGATTATGGGTGTGAGCTACCATGTCTAGCATAGCACAAGATATCTTGATGGGCAGTCCCACAGTTCCCAGTTCCCTGGTGGACTGGCCAGAGTTTGCAGGGATGGATTGAGCTAGATTTAAGAGCTAAATGCCAATTCCCCGCTCTTTCCTTCACAGGTGCTGATCTCTAAGAAACACCTTGCACCTCAAATTCCAATTCAGCATTGCTTTTAGAGAACACAACCTATGACAACTGACGATAATCGCTGTATCAGGATTTGGGGGAGAGGCTTGAAAAGTTTCTGCACCCAACAAGCAATTCAAATCAGACCAAGTCAAACTGAATTAGAAAAAGCCCACATTTAATGGCTACAACATTCCCAGATGATTTTCTGCCCCCTTTCCCCCAAAGAGGAGACAGGAAAGAGAGACAGAAAAGCCACAAGTCTGTTTTCGAGGCAGGGCAGTTTAAATACCCTGTGGGAGTGGTCTTGAACACCCCTGGAGGAGGGGTCATCATTTGTCTGGCTTTCTGAGATTGGGCAGGGTTTAGAGAGAAATGAGGGAGGGGGCTTGAGGTGGACCTTCTCCTGGAACATTCTAGACTTGTTGGGTATATGGATGCCAGGGGCTGGGGTGGAGCTTCCACCAGAACACCGACTCTATACCTTAGGTCTAACACAGGGTCCTCCGCCGTGTGATTTTACAGAATTTCAGTCCTTTCATCATATTGTTTACTTCACAGCTTTGTTTAGAATTACACTCCCCTGGAACCAGTTTCTGGCACAAGCCTCTAATCCCAGCAGTCAAGATGCTGAGGCAGGAAGACAAGAGTTCAAGAACAACTTTGGCTGCATAATGAGACACACATCCTAATTTGGAATAATATTTTTTAAAGCCAAGGGTAGAGATGCATGCCTGTAATCCTAGCATCCGGGAGAGGCAAGAGAATCAGGAGTTCAAGGTCATCCTCAGAAACACAGTGAGTTTGAGGCCAGCCTGGGCTTCATGAGACCCTGTCTCTAAAATCCATTAAAGAAGTAATGAGTGTTAAACTGAGGTTGAGTGAAAGCTATGCATAATGACAGCTTTCAAAGAGACTCCCCCAATCACATATGGAGATGGAGAGACAGGAAAGCATAGAAGTCATAACATAGTGCCAGTCCTTATCAAAGACCAAGACACCCAAGCACCAAGGCATATACTAAATAAAAGTATTGACTTCATAATCAGGAAAACCTGCTATGGGGTGAACTAGAGAACATTCTTGTTTGATTTTTCAGAGCCCTAATGTTAGCTAGGCAGAACTCATTTTAGGGGATGCAATTTAACCGCTGGAAAAAATGAATCTGCTTTTTTAATGGAAAAATTGTTCCTCATTGTGAAGGCGGCACATCATATTCTTGGCTTCTTTGGTCTCCAGTAGAAGGAATTCATGTATCTCCCTGTACCTCCACAGTATCTTGAATCTCCTATGTCAACAAAGAAAGCCAGACTGATAGATAACTTTTAAAAAAATTAATAAGTAGAAAGTACCTGCCCATCAAGATGAGCACCAGGCAGGTCACATTGTGTAAATACATCTGTTCTCAAGAAACCTCAAGAGGCTTAGGAATCAACAGATGAACGGCCCCACAGAACTGACCACAAAGTCAAAATAACTCAGGCAAAAACTTTCAAGTGTTTGAAGCACTTACAAGTTCAGTTTTAGGCCATCAGAGCAGCTCAGGGCAAAGGCACTTGCCACCAGGCCTGATGACCTGAGTTCCATTCCTGGGATCAAGTCTGACAAGTTGTCCTCTAACTTCTATACTCATGCTATAACACACACACACACACACACACACACACACACACACACACACACACACACACACGGAATAAATACAATAAAAATGATAAGAATTGTAAATGTGCAGTTCTCAGAAAGCATCAATATATTCCTACTTAGCACAAAAGTGATCTGAAAAGCAGTGATGGGGGCTCCCTACCCTTAGCACACTGTAACTCAACTAAAAGACTACAACACTGTTCCGCAACATAGAGCCCAATGTCCGCAAGTTCACACAGTCCACAGCAACAACACTAAGCAGAAACTGCCATAAGCCAATGGCTTTGCAAGCGTTTCTCAAGAAAACAGTTTTGAGTTCTTGTTTTTGTTTTTGTTTTTTTTTTTTGTTTTTTTTTGTTTTTTTTTTTTTGGTTTTTACGAGATAGGGTTTCTCTGTATTGTTTCGGGGGCTATCGGTCCAGCCCGGCCTCGAACTCACAGAGATCCGCCTGCCTCTGCCTCCCGAGTGCTGGGATTAAAGGCGTGTGCCACCACTGCTCGGCCAGTTTTGAGTTCTTTAAAGAAGTTTGATTAAGATCCCTACAGGCACTGTCCAAAGGTAGTTTCAGGGCCATTTCTGTCAGATTCCAAAGCCCGTTTTCATGGTTTCTGAAGCAGCAAGGCTTGCAGAGGCCAGGGAGAGGGGACTCTTGGGGCTAACACAGAGGATGAGGCTAGGTCGGTTAAGGAGTAAGGTGCTTGTATGGTCCTCTGGTGTCTAGACAGACAGGAGACAGGGAGAATGGGAAAGAGAACGGGGAAAGTCAGCTGGTTAGAGACAGCATGGCATGAGAGCTAATTGGGCACAGTCCCTGACAGGATATTAACATTTCCACCCTTCTTTTTGTCAAGTGCCTGCATGGAAAGAATTAAAATGGAGCTGAGAGAGTGTCTTACTTAGGTTTCTATTGCTGTGAAGAGACAGCATGGCCACTCTTATAAAGGAAAACATGTAATGGAGGCCTCATTTACCACCATGATTACCATGGTGGGGAACATGGCAGCCTGCAGGGAGACATGGTACCAAAGAAATAGCTGAGATCTTGCATCTTGCAGGCAATGGGAAATGGTCTGAGAACTTGGCAGTATCCCAAGCATAGGAAACCTCAAAGCCAACCCCAACAGTGACACACTTCTTTTAACAAGGCCATATCCACTCCAAAACAGCCACATTTCCTAATAGCCACTCCCTATGAGATTATGAGGCCCAATTCCATTCCAAAACCACAGAAGATTCCTCATAGGAACCGGTCAGTCTTTTATCCTTCTTCTGCCTCTCTTTTGGCTCCAATGCAATAGCCCAGGTGCCCCGTCCACTAGTCCTACTGGTGACCATGCCTCAGCCTTTTGAGTCCCATGTGCCAGGAGGGGCAGCTTCTTAGCTTGAGGATTCTAGAGGATCCTCATCTCCATTCTATCTAGAGCTGTAGTCCTGACTTAAAATAAAGCAATGCACTTCAGACTACCACCACATTTCCCAGCACTGGAACCCAGCCTTGCAAGGGAGGTGAGTGGCCAGAGCAAAGGCCATATGAACATCTTCCAAGTGACACTAGCACTATATATACCTGTTATCCTTAGAAATGTCATTCGCAAACCTTTCACTCACTCATTCATTCAGTTGCTCATCACACAGATAATAATTAAAAACCCATTCTATCTTACCTGATGGGAACGACAAGGTCCAACCAGTATGTCTTCCTGAACTCAGGAGCCTTACATTGCGTTGCTGATGGTATTGGTGGCAGGTGGTCTACAATAGCTCTAATAAGTGTTGGGTTAAAGAAATGCCCAGAAGTCACCATGATGTTCCCACTGTGTGCCTTGCTTGCTCCTGTATCTTTAATGCCCGTCCCAGAGACCGACACATAGAAAGGGCTCAGTAAATGGTTACTGAATTAGAGTCTAAAAGTGCTAAGCCCCAAAGCACTTTCTCTCTGTAGCCCCATCCTAGCATGGATTAGAAAAGAAAGGATGCACAATTCTTCCAACAGGTTACAGTATGTTCGAGTTGGGAGGAACTGGACAGAGTCATTGACATTGTTGTCATCCTCTCCCAGGTATCATATCCCTGCTTCCTGCTTCCTCAGTTCCATCTTGTGTAGCTGCACTTCTAAGAATACTCAAGTTGGTCAGAGTTCCTGTTGAAGCTCAGGGATCTAACCCTGGACTTGGGGTTGTGGTGAAGGTGGAGCTTCAGATGTCTTGTGCTTTTCCAGAGACCGTGCCACGGCTCACCCTGAAAGTTAAGCCTGATCCCACCTGCATATTCTCTTCTGTGGCAGGGAGGCTACCAGCAAGAACTGGGCTGCAAAGGCTGTGGAGGTCGTTACAAAGCTCCAGTGTTCCCTTGTCCTCCTGTCGTCGTACTGTCCCTCAGGAGTTCAAAGCCACCCTGACCTATGTAGTGAAATCCTATGTGGCTCAGAAGCAGGGTTCTTGTTTTGCAGTTGCAAAACCCTGGCTTTGATCTCCAGCTTTGGGGGTGGGGGTGGGGGTGGGAGGGCGGGGGGGGGGTGAGAAAACCACATCGCTCCCAGATGTCTGGCATTGGCTGCTGGTTTAGAACCAGGTCTCCAAAAATCATTTTTGCCTCATCACTGCTGCCTCCCAGGTTTGCGTCTCATGGGAGAGTTCTTAGCTTAGTCCTAAAAGCCATATGATTCCTGCTTCCTAAGAGGACTTGGACATTTCTGCTTCTGATGGGTGGCCTTTTACCCTTCTAATACCAACAATTTCCCATCTCTCACTGTCCCTGTTCTGGGAAAAAATCTCTAAGGGTCTTTCGTGGCCACGAGGATGGATGGGTAATGGGCAGCCTGGGCCAGAGCCCAAGCAGCAGACCTCCCAAGAACAGTGACACATGCATTTGGGCATGCTTATGGTTTTCTCCAAAGAGGACTGAAGGGAGAAGGGGGTGGAATCTAGAAACTTCTCAGGCTTTAAGAATTCCTGCCCTCCTCCTCAGTCTGACCCGGACTATGCCTGTCTGGTTCCTGGCAATGCCCACGGGCAGGACAGCAAGAAAAAGAGGGGAGGCCTGTTTGCTATTTGCTTGGCCGCCCCTCCTCCGCACTTGTCTCCACTGGCTACTCACCCCCTTGCTGCCCGCCTGTCCCTCTGGGCTACTGGGGCGCCACTACTGTCCCCAACCCGCTTTGCCAGACGAGTCTAAAGGCAGCTTGACTCAGGGCTCTGCCAACAGCCCACAGCTTGAGCGAGGCTATAAAATCTGCCACTGAGAGAAGAGGCCCAGTGTTGCCCTGCACTGCCTAGCCCCAGCGCACAGACATGACCCAAGCAGCAGAGCGGGGCCGAGGGGCTACAGGCTGGGGGGTGCGCGGCGCCCTAGTGGCAGTAGCACTCCTGTTGGCGCTGAATGCCGCTGGCACAGTGTTCCTGCTGTGCCAGTGGCGCGGGCTGAGCGCGGCCCTGCGGACGCTAGAGGCTCAACGCGGCCGGGAGCAGCGCGAAGACAGCGCCCTACGCGCCTTTCTGGCAGAACTGAGTCGTGCACCGGGCCAGGTCCCCGAACCACCCCAGGACCCCGCGAGCGCAGCGCGCAACAAGCGCAGCCACAGCGGAGAACCTGCGCCACACATCCGCGCCGAGAGCCAGGACATGATGATGATGATGACCTACTCCATGGTGCCGGTAGGCAGGGGCTCGTCTCGGTGGCGCCCCCGTTAGTCTGGGCCGCAGGAGGTGTTGGGAACTAGGATTCCGTTGGCCAGGGACATCATGGAGAGAAGCCTGGGTGTAGATGTGGCCAGGGAGGTCATCCTGGCAAGCTGCTTGACTCTTTTGAGATCAGTCCCTTCATCTTCTAGGACAGGGCAGGGCTCAAGTCTTCACTTCTGACATCTTTTGAGTCTGCAGGTAAATGTAGGGCGTAGGCAGCCTCTCACAACTTTTGATAGACATTTTCTGGGTGTGAACTGACCCACAGCAGCAGCTCCCTGTAGGAGAGTTATCAACGAAGTGACTTTTCTTCAACAAGGATTCCTTCCCCTGGCACAATCTAGTGGTTAGACTTTTAATCTGGCCTGGGTTCATCCCCATGAGATCGCGACCAAACTGTCCACCTAGAAGCTGACAGTCATTCCTGGCTCTCGAGCTGTTCCAAATGGGAGAGATTGGTGTAGTGTAACTTTTATTAGCATGCTAATATGCACTGATGAAACTGAGGTTCTTAATGCGGGGCCTGTGGATGGCTTCCCACATTAGCTCAGAAGAGCCGAAAGCCAGAACTGCTGGTGCGAACGCGTGCATCCAGGGAAGCTTCCAGCATTAATCCTTTTCTTCTTTTTAATCACTCTCCTTCCCTCAGTACCCCTTAACCTCCCTTCTCCTTCATTTTTCCTTCCTAAAACAGTTTCATGTAACCCAGGATGGCCTTCAACTGGCTGTGTAGCCGAGGATGACCTTGGACTCCACCACCTAGGTGCCAGGATTGCAGACATGAGTCACAAAGCTCCTAGGCCTCGTTGCATTTTCTAAGCTATCCTGTGGCATATTCACTTCCTGAGATTTAGGAGACACCACTCTAAAGGAAAGATAGAGGAAAAGAGATCTTTAATCCAGTTTTCAGGGGTTTTGCTTTTGTTGACTTGACCTCAGTGGATCTCTAGCAGGTGCATCAAGACCAAATTCTCACTCCTCTTTCCATCTCCCGGTCCCTTTTCGTTCACAACAGCAGCTTTCGTCTTACTTGACTTTATAATTAGAAACTTCAATTGTCACTCCAAGTCCAGTGAGCAATACTTTGGAGTCCTACACATTTGATGAGAAGTCTGCTTTGGACATTTGTTGTTGTCAGAGAGGCTTTCAAACATTACGTGTAAGTTTAAATGCTTTTAAAACTACAAATACTACACACTTAAAACACATAGTTTGAGAAAGGTCGAGTTTCCCATTTCTGACTTCACTGTTTTACTCATGTAAACATTTAAAAAATCTGTGCCTAAGCAGAAATTTCAAAAGCTAAAACCTCTATAAGATGGAGAGGACTCATTAGGAAATTCTAGAGCATTCTCTTGGCTCTTTACTCTGCATTTTAAGAGTTCTTTTTAAACGTTCCAAGAGAAATTCATCTGAACATCGACACTTTATATCTTTAATCCTGCTCTTAAGGTAGACGGCTTAGATCCAAATTGCAGCCTATTCAGTCACTGACATAAGAGAATGAGCTCATTTCCATGTCACTCAGAAAGCTAGATCTAAGTGCAGGTGACCTGGCAGTGCAGTCACCTGCTGATGGTACAGATTAGCACCACCGAGACTGCAGCTAGAGTTCAGTACCCACTGTCTCACACTGATATGTGAGACTTGAGTTGTGAGCCTTTGGAGTCACTGAAGGAGGTGCAGCAAGACCAGAAAGCAATGACCTCGCTGATGTGTGTCCTTCTTATGCAAGTGTCCAGGTGCAGTCCTCTAAGAACACTGCAACTCCACCGTGTGTCAGGTCAAACCCTGGGCAAATGGCTGACTGAGGTGCATGCTAATATATCAAAGCCTACATGGGTCACCAGGTTTTCCCTGTATCCCTCAGTCTCTACCTGTTGGAGGGCCCTCCTGGTTGGCATGCCATATCCCCTACCCTGAACTCTCCGGCCTGGGGTGGGCTGCCCTTTCCCCAGCTCTCCCTTCCCTATATAATCCAGCCATTTTGGTTACCTGGCCCTTTCGGTCTAGCCTTTACTGTCTTGGTCAGTCTCTTGGCCCAGGCCACCAGCCTTGGTCAGCGGCTCCTCTCCCCTCTTCCTGTGGGCCAGTTCCTCACATGGCACAGCTCAGTGTGGTCATGTCACTCTGGACTCCCCCAGATGTCCCTGCCTCTGGCTATGCTCTCCCTTCTATCTAAAATAAACCTTCTTCTCCATCATGCCTAGGAGCAGTCATGGCCTTCCTCTTTTATTTCTTTTTTTCCCTCATCACACACGTAAGTATCCAGGTGTCATACTCTTAGAGCACTGCAACTCTCCCATGCCCATAAGTATCTTGGGAAGGCTGTACAATGCAGGTTTCAATTCAGATGGTCTAAGGTCTGAGATTCTGCATGGCTAACAAGTGCCCACCGATGCCAGTGCTGCAAGTCTGAGGGCCACATTTTGAGTAAGACATTCCTAGAACACCAGAGTCATCAGAGAAACCTGAAAACTTAGCAAATCCGGAATCCACCCTAGATATTATTCCAAGTGGGTCAGTCTGAGGTGTGGCCTGGGATAGTGACCTCAGATAGGAGCAGAGAAGATATTGACATGAGTTCCTAACCATGGTAAGCTAGCTGGGTCAAGCACTTCTAGTCCTTGTCCGGCCTTGCTTTAAGCAAAGGAGCAATTTCACTGCCTCTTTTTTTTCATTATTATAACAATACACTTCTCATCTTCACAAATTATTTTCTTTACCATTCACTTTTCTTATAACAGAAAATTAACCACAAAGGAAACCAATTTATTAAAGAGAAGCCATCACTGGGCACCTCAAGTAGAAGCATTAAGAGAATGATCTAGAGAAAATCTTGGAAGTAGGCACATCTACACACTCACCCTTGGGCCTCTTCTATAGCATCGGATCTCGAATGAGTGTGAGATCCATGGACCAACCCAGGATTTCACTCTGAGACTCTGTTTTGGAGAACTAAGAACAAAGAGGCTAGTTCTATATAGATTAATGTCAGCATTTCAAAAAACCTTCCAGAATGGTCTCTTTACCCAAGATGAGCTTTCCTTGTGGCTTGTCTCTGCACTTTTGGCTAAAACAAAAAGTAATTCAGTCAGCATGGGAGTTCTGACTGGCACATTTGGGTTGCTAGTTCTAAATGACTTCGTTGGAAAAAAAACTGCAATTATTACAAGTATAGTTCATTTGGCACAGGCAAGCATATTAAAAAGTTTAAAAGCAAGGGAGTGTTTTGGAGAAGTGTTGAGTGGGACAGTGGGCAAAGCCTGGGAGCATCAAACCTGGCTGGAAAGCGGAAGAAGGATCTGGAAGCCATGGGACAAAGGGAAGCTCTGACCTACCTCCTCCCTTCCTATAGGGCACATAGCTTGTATTGTTTCTCCTCCCCACAACCTTTCCCAGCAGAATCCATCTGACCCCTCCCCCACTCTCTCTCTCTCTCCATGTCCCTCTCCCCCTGCCCTTCCCTGCCTCCTCTTTCTTCATATCTTACCTTTACTGACACTCTGGTAACTTTGCTCTGTTATCTTTTCTGACCCCAAATCTAGAGCATCCAGGGGGAAGTCAGGTAGGAAACTTTTGATGCACTAAGGCTGGTGAATATGTCTCCATAGCAATGGTTAGCCTTGGGTACCAAGCACACTCCTACACCTCAGAAAGCATTCAAAAAGTCTGGGCACCTCTCTCACAAGAAAGTCACTTTTCCTATTTTGAAGTAAACCCAAATAATTTTTCAAGGAAGACAAATAGGATTAAACAACATCCATATGCTACAAAGAGCATTTGATAGAATTTAAGGCCTACACCAGATTGTTATTTTAGACAGGATTTTACCATGTTGTAGGCTAGCACTGAGATCTCCCTCTATCTGCCTCAGCCTCCTAAGCACGGGGATTACCATACCTAGGTCTATGCTTAACTGTCTATAATTTTTAAGTTTTATTTTATTTTATTCATTTTACCTTCATGTGTACTGTGTGTATGCCAGGGAGGTCAGAAGAGGGCTTCAGAGCCTCTGGAAAGATAGTCACAGAAGCTTGTGAAATCCAACCAAGGTCCCAACACAGGCTCTTAAACACCGAGTCATCTCTCCAATACTTTTGAAATCTGCAATTATAATATAAATCAATAGATTACTTTTTTCTTTTTCTTTTTTTGTTATTTTTTTTTGTTTGTTTTTCAAGACAGAGTTTCTCTGTATAACAGCCCTGGTTGTCCTAGAAAGCAATTTGTAGGCCAGGCTGTCCTAAAGCTTGCAGGTAGAGATCCACCTATCTCTGCCTTCCAAGTACTGGGATTAGAGGTATGCACCACCACCAGACCAATAGATTCTTTCTTAACAAGGTAAAATATAATGATAATCTCTTACTTCAAAACCAGCTCTCCACTCACTAGCAATTATCCTAAGAGAGCTGTCTACTATCAGTAGAGGTAGCTCGGTTTGTCCTAGGGACTAACCAGAGAAACTAGACAAACAAAAGTAGTCAAATACGTGTTGGCAAGTGGGAGTTTGACTCCCATCAAATTATATTAGTATACCAGGAAAACCCAAGAAGATTTTCTGACAACCTACTATAAACAACAATAGAATTCAAGGGAAATTCCTTATACCTAAACATCCATTCCACCTTCTCCTCTGGGCACAGCCGGCACCTCTCAACCTCACCTTCAGGTCCTCTCCTGTTTTTCTTTTGGAATCCCCTGAATCCTGTGAGCGCTGCCTGCTAGAATGTTGACTGATCCTGCCTGGCTTGATTTTCTGCAGGTAACCACGGCTGCAGAGAGCTCATGTACAAAGGACGTGTCCTTTCCTGGAAGGCAGCAGCCTTGACTACCCATTTAACATATCAAAGATGGTTCTGGCTGCCAGATTCTCCCAGCATCCCTTAGTCCCTACCTGTTACAGGGTCCTCCTTGATGATATACCCCACCCCTACCATGAACTCCAGGGGCTGGAGTTACCCCAGTTGCTC